GTTTTGCCGAAGTAATCATATAAAGCAGAGAAGGTAAATAATTTTGGGCGCCATCATGAGGGCCCCCAGGTGGGATACCTCCTATTCCAGATCAATGGGCTCATCTACTCAATTGGACGTAGCTCCAAATGTCTGGAAACGGTTTTCGAGCGTGTACTTCAGCATTTTGTGGGATAAAAATTACACATTGCTAAGGTTTTGGGCGGGTATGGGTGTGGAGTAACTTGGTGGGCGAGAATTTTGGTCACTGGGGCTAGGCCGAGCACCCGGCGTTGATTTAAGCAAAGTGAAACGCTGCCTGCTCAAATAATACAAACTCAATTTGTTTTTTTTTTAAACTCTAAGTCGTAGAAGACACACTTAGAACCGAACTTTTCTGGACAACAGGAGAACGCAAAAATTAGCCCTAGTGAAAGGATCAGATCTCGCGTGCTGAAAGAAAATTAAAATTCACGGTCTTAACCAACACATAACTCCAGCGAACCATTTGTCTAATTTAAGCAAAATCGAAGAAGTTGTTGTGTGCCAAAGTCGCCTCAAAATGTAACGACTTGGGAAAACACATTCGTAGTTAGTTTGATTGCGCGCACATCCAAATCCGGCTGAACTAAATGCGGACTAAGTCCCTCATTGGACAACTGAAAAAAAAAGCACTCGACAGAGTCGTTTTTGGCATGACAACGTAAAGCACTTGGCAGCGAACTTTAGATTGAATAATACCATCTTGTGGCGAGATTAAAGGGTATGCGGTTTATGATTATCGGTTCCACTCTACTTTCGATTCTCGGTTACTTCAAGAGGGGATTGTGCCTACGGGGATAAAATGAATTCCAGATTATAATTCACTATAGAATCTACCAGAGGGATTCACACAGCGATTGGCAAAGTATCTAAGCGCGACAAGTAACTAGTTCCAAAAAGTGATTCCGTGGCATTGGTACACGAGGGAAGGGGGAACGTTTTGACATGACTTGACCCCAAATGTGCATAATTAATCACTTGGTTGAACACTTTGAAGGGCCTCATATGAATAGGACAAACCACTAACATTTAAGCCAGTTCTCACCCTGTTCAAGTTTTTTTTTACGTTAAACATTGCCATTTGATGGCCAGCGCAGGCTCAAATCCCATTTTCCACTGACCTTCAAGTTCGACTGCTCAAACCCTTTTGCATTGAAGCTGTTAAATTAAAACAAAACCGACCTCGTGATGCGGATTTTGCAAACATATCCATCTAACTTACTTCCTCCAATACCTTATTTGTCTCAGGTCGCCTGGAATTGTGTGCTTTGAAAAAATAGAGAGAACAATCTTGCCACAGAGATGCAAGACAGTTATTGCTCGAGAAGCCCTGCGACTTTTTGTGTCAAAAGTTAAACCAATTTTATTTGGACAATTTTATACAAATTCGGGCATCGCATTGTTTTAATCAAGACAAATCTGTGGTTCCAAATATGCTACCTTTTAATTTTAAATGTTTAGCCTATTTCTTTTAATTTGTTTTTTTCTTCTAAAGCCACCATTCTCAATGAATGTTTTTCCCTGTTTTATGTTCATTGCGTGCTTGCAAACCTGGAACAATTGGACGATTGCAATGTTGACTTTAATTCAACGAAATGTGCATTTTTAGCACAATTCTTGTTAGTGGTGGCGTAAGGTCAAGGCCACATCTAACTTGCCAGAAAACTAAAATAATGTCTACACTGCATCCTACCGAAGTGGTTTGGATGCGTTAGTTTGGTAAAAATTGTTTTTTTTTCCAAATATCTAAGAGTAACGACCTAGCCAATCAGACTGAAGCCTTTAAACTCGACTCGTTGTCAAGCGCAGGGCGCTGTTTTCCTTCAACAAGACCAAATTGACCAATCACCTTCGTGGTAATGTGTGTGAAGTGTCTGTGGAAGCCCCGAAATGGTTCTCAAACCGTTTTTTGGCCTAGATGACCTACGTTGACAACGCCCGGATAAGAACCATGAGGAGAATAAATAATGCGGAGCTCAACATATTTATTGCTACCTTGAGGGCGTGGCGATTAAGAGTGCGTTGGTAACGTGGTAAGGCGTCAGTTTATGTAGGCACTCTCAACAGCGATCTCTAAACGAACACTGAAGTTTATCGATTGAGTCCGTGCTTTACTCCGAATTTAGTTAAAAACACGGTTAGGTGGCTCCATTACCAAGTGAACTAGCTCCAGGGGTTAAATAAATTGCTAGAAAAGTTTTCAATTCAAGCGCCAATTTTTTTTCACGGAAAAATATTGCCATCTACCACTGCAATAAAATGCCACAGTAACCATATGCTTGTCATAAAAAATGGACGTAAAAGTTGCGCAAATTTGAACCTCAAGTAAACCCAATTTATTCTGCAGTTTTGCGATATTTGGAAAGAAAAACATATTTTGACTCCTGACCCGCAGTCTTTTGTTTTAGTTATGAGTAATGTTGATAGCGAGAGGATAGCATAACACAGGCTTTGTGACACCAAGCCAGTTCTGTTCATTTTGCTATGACAACAGTGCCGTCTGCTCTCAAACTGGACGTTAGGCTCAAGAAATGTGTTGACAGGGTCAACTGTTTTAATGTCAACCAGCCCTGAAAATTGTTGGAATTCCCTAAACGGTAAATGGATTAGACTGATAGTTTTTAAGTAGTACAATTTAGGCGTTTTCGATTTTACGAATTGCACTTTTGCACGATACGAAATTCTTCAGGTGGCTAATGCCATGCCCGTTTAAGACGTCATTGAACATGCCTTGATGAGTTGTGCAGGTGACAAACCCCAGCTCCCCATGTTTTAATTGGTGGCACCATCGACTTGACGCTTCCTATGACACCTTGAACGTCCAGAGTTGATTGGTCAACTCTGCAGCCGTTTAAGTTGTTGCTGATTGGTAAAAAGGCACGAGGTAATGCAAGTGATGAGTCGTGCCTGAAGCTAGCCGCGTGCAATTTGAATAACCTTGAAATGAGAAACTGATGCGCTCAAATGAAGCAAATTCGCTCATTCAATTTTTTGTTTTTGCGAGGCGATGTCCTTTGGAAGTTTTTTTTTGATTAAGTGAATCTGCAAATGGAGAAAAGAAGGAGAATGGATGAGGAGACAGTGGTGTTGAATGGGACTGACAACGAACCACTAACTGCCACAAGGCTATCATAAATACGAAGAACTTATAACGAAATACGGAATAAGATGACACATGTAGACTGTCATCAGGCCTACTTATCAGACACGGTGATCACCAGTGACTATGGAGATGGTAGCAGGCGTACGCACTTGGTCGAGGGCCTGATAAAGAGAGCATTATGCATTTCAGTTTAAATGAGATAATACTTGGGTTTCGTGTTCTGAGTCATCCTCACCATCTCTGGACTCGTTTGTTGTGTAAGGGTCCAAGACGATCGTTTTTAGCTCACCTCCTATTGTTTGCCTACTCCTTTTGCTTTATATCTTACATAAAAGGAGTGTTGTGTGTTACTGTTTCCGGAAGCGAGTATTAAATAACCATGAAATATGCTCAGATAGTATCGAGGTTGCTGGCTTTGGTGGCATTGTCTTGCCAGTCCCTATAAACCACACCAGACCCAAACGTAAAATCTCGAAGTGTAAATAAACGAGTTCTCAAGTATCCTAGTTTCTGAGCTCAAAGCGTAAAAGGGGCCATTCCATTTCCAGTGACAATCCAAGCGTCAATAAAAACGTGATTATCAACCAGCCTCGTAGTCAAGACAATTGAAATTAACTAGAATCAGAGAATGTGGGCAGTGCCACACTTTGCTGTTAAATCGAAAGCTGGGTATAGTATCAAAATCAGATGCTTCACCAATCCTCAGTGCGAACAGGCTGCTTCCATTCTACTAGGTTCATGGTCGAATTTTGCGCAGTGAGGCTCGCTGAACCTTCAAATTTCCCATTTACGTTAACGTTCAGATGCTTCTGAAGGTCAACGAGTTATCCACTGCAACCACAAACTGGGCAGGTGGCTAGAGAGGACACAAAACCGCTTGTTTCATTCCACGAAGAGTTAGTGTATTCATTTAAACAAAACCACGCATTCATTTTGGGGCCATTACGAGTTTATCACAAGACAAAGAAGAACACTTGGTTTGTCAAATTTCAAATTGGCATCGGTTGAGTTGTGAATATATTTGGCGAATCCAGTTTTGACCAATCAAACGCTACATATTTGATATACAGATCTGTTCATAGTCGACTTGGCGTCCAAGCAAGGACTTTACAATCACTCTCAGTATTTGTTAAGATATTTGTGCCTGCATTGTGCTCCCAATCAGCCTCGTCTGGGTGCCGCGTGATGTAATTTTGCAAACCCACATTTTAGTTCCACTCGTTGATCAAAATGCATCTCTGTTACCATTTCTTAGTTTTGGCTTTTACATCAAGTAGAAGCAATTCTAATTAACCAGTTATCGATTTGCCCTATCATTTTGCGTCCTTGCCCACCATGTTTGCACTCAAATCGGCCGTCCGCAGCCTATTGGCTCATTCACTTTTAAGTGCTCTCCGCTTTAATCGCACTCAAGTGGGCGCTTTGAACGTGTTAATTGCCCCTGGCTGAGACAGAAAAGTTCTCTGAGGGGGGTGGTCCCGTGAAAAGGCGGTGGTCTTGACCTTAGCGCACGTGTCAGGAGAGCGGTAACTCACTGTTGTTGCCCTAGGGACTTGCGCCCACCGCACCACATCCAGGGGTTGTCATTTTTAGAACTAGCAAACCACAGGTAATCGAGTTTGTTTGCTTCTGTCGCGCCCCACCCGCTGTGTTTAGTTTGCAGAGGCGGCAAGCGAATCATTGTGTCTCGGTTGGGACAACAATGCCCTGCGATTTTCCATCCTGCACAATTGTTTAAGTAGGAATGGAGTTACAGCAGGGGCAGTTGAGCATTCACTGGTGAAGTGTTACAGACGAAACCACTGGACAAGTTCGGTTTTGGGCACTTGTGTTTGTGGTGTGGCGTGTGATTGGTTCGCTTTGTTTTTTCACAAAGATGGCGCCCTCCCAGTGCCTCCTAGCGGCCTCGTTTACGCTAGGAGTTCTCTCCAACGCGATGACACTGGAGGAGGCAAAGAAAGACGCAGACGCCTTCATCTTCTTCGACCCCTCGCCCTGCAGTCGCCTCTTCCACGCCGGCGTGTCCGCAGTCCTGGTGTACGGCACCCTCACTTTAATGCTGGTGCTGATTTCCATCTTTTCCAAACAGGCTGGAGCTGTCCGAAGACCACGAGCGGGCACGGCCAAAAGAGAGTCTTCTTCAGCCGTCGCGTAAGTTCCTTTCAAGACTGCGAATTTGATAAAAGGAGTCGCCTTTAAATAAGGCACAAATGGAGATGCTTTGGGAGCGTTTTATGCCGAAATGCCGTCTATCAAAATTGAGTTTTTTTTGAAGCAAAATGCACTTAACTGCGTTTTCAGCAGGGTCTTCAGGAAGGGCAGTAAAGCTTCCGATTTCACAAAAGGTAGGCGTTGTTTACGGCGGTGATTGCTTAACTAAATCCACGTGTCAGATTTTGTTTCAGCATTCACCTCTGGAGACATCTCACGCAAATTTCACCAATGCTTCACCTAGCAGGTCATGGATTTGTTAAGAAACACCATGTTTGGTTCCTGTTTGAATTACAAAACTTCTCCACGCTTAGTCAATGAAGACGTGGCAAGACGTGATGGTGAACTAGTCCAGCACCCGGATGGAGTTTCCATAGATCTGGGCGAGAAGTTCTTTCAGCGCGAAATCATGCGGCTGTTAGAAACGCGTTTGAATGTTGTTGCACAAGATTCAGGACCAAAAACTGTACAAATTGATGATTTGAACTCTCACGTATCCCCTAAAGCGGCATTTTTGCCCTTAGTTTACTAGCAAGCCGATATCATGAATGCGAACATACCACCACTTACACACGTGTGCGCATTTTTACACAAAGCCTGCCAACAAACAACCAGAAAAATACAGTCTAGGTAAATTTGATGCCTCGGATGCCTCATTCGAAATAGCCAATGATGTTGACTGATTTAAACTGCAATCAACAGTGAGAAATAGCTGAGGAAAATAGAATCTCGGAAGGGGATATTGTAAATTAATAACTGTAAAGTAGACATGTTATTTGGTCCGTCGTTTAGTCGTGAGATGAGGTAAAAGGACAAGTTTGTTAAAGAAAACTGTCAAGATTGGACCGCTCACTGGCCGACTGAGCAAGATGACTGAAAAAAAGGGAAAATGGGACACTTTTGAAAGCGTATTTAAAAATTTGCCGAATGAAAATGCGCCTGCCGTCAGGTAAACTAAAAAAAGGTATTTGCTTTCGGACAACGAAACACCTCGAAATGGTTGAAGTAATTTTGAGTCACCGGTCAACCAACATGGGATTTGATTTTCCTTATATGGAAGTGGGTCTTGTGGGGGAATACTTCGCTTAAAAATTTTCGTTTTTGGTATTGTTTCAGCCCCAGCAGTTAAGCATATCATCGACTGGGCCAAACTTACAAGGATTCTGGAACAACCGCTTGCAGGCGCATGTTGTAGTCCGTTCGCCATCGTTCCCCCTCTGCCCCCTAACTAGTCGTTTAATAACTTGTATCAAACCACCACAATCCATGTAGAATCAAGACAGTTGGAAACTACGCATATCTGGAACAGGGATTCATGCGATTCCTACTCAGAAGCCCCAGTCTCGGTGTAATCAAAAATGTTTTGTTTTCGGAATTTTTTTATAAATAACAGTCCTATAATGGTGTTATGCCGCGCGTTTTACTCAAACACCACGAGTCGTCGAAATTTCGGTTCCCACAGGTCCGCCAGAGTGCAGCAAGTAGTTGACATGGTTGGTCGCACGCAAAGAGAAAGCAGTTGTTTAAATCGACTGGTTGGACAACTTTATCCACCTCTCCTATTCTTCCAATCTGCAAAAATCTACTCACCAACCGCACGACAACGTTATTTTTTGATTTTCTTAGACAGAGGCGGGATTTTGTGGGTTAAGGCGTTCAGGCAAACTAGTTTTAAATCACGTTGCTCACCCGATTGGAGGCACGATTTATCAAACAGAATGTAGTAAATTGCTTGCAACAACCCACGGACCCAGTAGATGCGACAATTTATTGGCGTCACGCCAGCCGAGGGTCGTTTTATAAGTTTGCGTGAGAGTGATTATCGATCGTCAGCTGCAATCAATAGTCAGTGAGTAAAGATCAGCTGGTGGATAGGCTTCACTCGCGCTTCGTCACAGACCGTCAACCGCAATAATTTGAGTTTTAGTGTAACGAGTTGATTGTTGTTGGAAAACCATTATACCAGTCGTTCTCTTTTTTTTGTTAATAGCCAGCCTTCAGTGGCGGCATGGAGTAAAGTCAAAGCGTGTTTGTACCAGGCATGATCTGCCAACTGGACTAACGTTCTCCCCTATCTAGTCGTTGTCAATTTTGTCATCAGCTTGCTTAATCGTGCACTTTAAGGCGTTCTTTCCGCAACCAAAACAAGGTGGGTTTGGTTTCGTCCATAAAAAGCCGCAGAAACACACCCAGTTACGGGGCTCATGTCAAACTGGCGGCATTAACTGCCGTTGAGGTCATGGAGCACCAACAATAGAAGGGCTTTTAAGAACCAGTACACTTTCTGTCAGCCTTGTAAATCGATTAATTGATTTAAGCATTCATCGACCAATCAACGGTGACATTACATCGATATCGGGTTATTTCTGTAAGACAAGGAACTTAATGACTGGGAAGCAGGTATAAGTTAGTTAACACGACATCCGGAATTGCAGCATCAGCCAATATTTTAAGCAATGTGTATTTAAAAAATGTGATAGAATGTAACCATTGCTTCTCTGCCAACTTATTGCTACAGGACTACAAGTCTGGCATAGGGTTTCATGCAAAGAATCACGTTTTATACCATTTGGATAATTCGTAACCTTTTATCACTATCCCGACAGATAACAGACGGGTTATCAAGTGCAACTAACACATGCCTTCAGTTTTTTAAAAAAATTGGCATGGCTTCACTATTCTTTCGGGCAATACGTGTGTGTGTGTGTGTGTGTGAATGATTCAAACTAAGCGAACAGATAATGTGTTCGGCGCTTCACTAGCTGCATGTAAGCTGCCTGAGCTCTGAATCCTTGATTCGACACTTCAAGGTCAAAACGATGGATTAAAACAACCGCAAAATTACTCCTGATGGATGTGCCTGTAAATAGTAAGTGCGTTGAGCACATTTTTTCTCGAAAAATCCTCAGCAATCGTGTTGGTTGAAAGTTTGCCTGCTACCGGTGATGTAATTTCTGTGCCTTGTTCTGTCTTGACTGCTTTAAAACCCACTGTGATGGATGCTTGGTTTAAAACCAGCTAACTAAGCTGCCAAAATGCGTGTTAATTCGTGATCCCTAGTCTCCTCTAGCCTTTATTCTAAACTCTGCAGAATCACAAATGCCTGTTGCGACAAAAACCATTCTCCTAACAAACCTACTCAGCTAAACTTTCTTGTGAAAACGACAAGAAGTGCGAAAAGGCACTGACAGGTGCACACTAATTAGGTGCTGACTGTCCTCGCAGAGAAAACTATCACTCCCCTTTGTCAAATGTCAATTTTTTTCCGCGCAAAAGACAAGGCTTGACGTTGATTAATGGACGTGTTTCTTGAAATTATGCAAGACTGGTCGACGGTCACACCGGAGCTGCGAGTGGAGGTGCGAGTGAATTATCCTAGCTAACCCGATTAAATTTGGTTTAAATGGCTAGTAAAGTGTTCAGCATTCGTTGTTTCAAGCCAATTATATATTTGCTACTTAAATGTTTCTAGTACGCATTACATTAACGGCAAACGTTCAGGGTCCTGCCGCATTGGGATCAACAGAGTAATGTAAATTGATAATTTCACTGTTGTTTTAAATCATGCAACCTAATCGCTTGTCTACTAAAATTCGATTTAGTAAACCTCTTTCCCGTGATTCCTTTCTTTGCCTAACAGCAGTTTTCGCTTCTGGGTTTTCCGTGACCAGGATTCGAATTTGCCTTCTTCATAGATTGTTTCAGGTATTTATTTACCGCATTACTTTTCGTCTTTTGCTTAGAGTTCTTATTACTACTCTTTTACTAATTAATGATGTTGCTATGACAAAAATAGGGGCAGCCATTTGTAATGTCAACCAGTAGGAACTTCCATGTGATTACTATCTGGGACGAGTAAATGCCACTATGTTTCTGATGGTGTCTGAATGGGATTGTTCAAGTTAATTAAGGTGACGAATTTACGGTTGGGTTATATGTGATAAAAGTGGCATATATGAGAGACTTTGACTCTATGTGATGATTAAGAGTTCAACATTTAATTTTTTCATGGCATTAAAAATGGCATTGGTACTGAAATAATTTAAGTAGCACGTATATAATTAGCTTGAAGTGACAAGCGCATCCTATGTTTCTGATGCTGAATGGAATTGTTCAAGCTAATTAAGGTGACGAACTTATGGCTGGTTTGTGTGTCGATAAAATTGCGAATATAAAATGAGAGACGATGACTCTATGTGATGATTAAGGCTACACCATTTTATCTTCACTTTCGAACACAGTGACTCATTTTTTGGGGGTTTTCATAAGAGGGAAAGCCGTGTGTTCGTGTAATTAAACTTGTTTAAGTTAAGAGAAAACGAATGCTTTGTAATTGTTGGTCCAAAATGTGAGCAAGCTCTGTTTTTCACCTTTAAAAGTGCCGAAATTGTGCTAGTGTTCTGCGATAAACTTCGTCAAAACTCAGCCAATCACGCGTGGGTGATGGATACGAGGCGGAATTTACCCCGTTTAAATAGCCTGCTCGAGTCAGCTGTTGCAGTGAGGGCGATAAAGCCATGCTTGCCAAACATGAATGACAGTCACGAGCTGCGTGCTCGCGTGAAATCAATGA